CAGTACCCAACAGTACCCTGCAGATATGGGGATTACAAATTGGCGTTGTTGCCATCCTTCCCTCCATTAAGTGATCAGCTGATTAGTATTAAACTAGCTTTTTTGTCCATGAAAATAGTGCAAAACTATAAAGAAAACATCCTTAGAAGTGCTTCTGACTCTACTTATATATTTTTATTAAAAATAAAAAATTCTGTTTGGTTTCTGTATCCCCTCCCCCCAGTATACCCCAGTAAAGCCCAGTACTTTGCAGTACATTGTAGTACCCTGTACCCTGAAGCACTCTGTATACCCTGTTTCCATCACTTTCCATAAAAAGATTTGGGAATTACAAATTGGTGTTTTTGCCATTCCTCCCTCCAATGAATCATCAGCTGTTTAGTTTTAAACCATCAACAGAATGAGTTTTATACTGTTATACACAAATGAAAATAATGCAAAACTAAAATAAAGTGCAACCCCGAAAAGCTTCTTTAAGTTCTAAATATTTTTGTTCAAAATAAAAATTCTGTTTGGTTTGGCAACTTTTTTGCAGAATCTTTCCTACTTTCTGAAAGGTTTTACATCGGTATGTTTGAGGATATCTACTCGATATAAAGCACTATTTATTAATACCTATTTTGACTCAAACTTTTAACTAAATGAATATAGAAAAAATATGCCGGTTTAAGAAAGTTTTAGATAGATATTTGCAATCATCCAGAACAAAAAGTTTTATTAAAAATTAAACTTAAAAAGTTTTATAGAAGTTTTTAAAAATATGCAAAAAAAATCATTTCTGACACCCCTAGGCTTTTTACGCCAATATAGTTCACCAAATCCATACTGCAGTCCTTCAATTATCATACAGGGAAATTTTCATCTTTCTAAACATCCCAACGAATGATTTGACAGGTTCTTTATATATAAATATGGACAATTGGAGATTGAATAAATAGAAAAACTTTTAAAATAAGATTACATTACCAGTGTTTAATTATTGAAGAAGTAAATCACCCTGCACGCACCTCTGCCTCTTCAGTAAAAGTAAATTCAACCAATATAAAGTATAACGTCTGACCGCTTTAACCTTGTCGCACCGGCTAATCCTGTCCATAGAGCTAGGAACAGAACAAACTATGACCGGAAAGGTTGACCCAGCTCGGTAATTCAAATGTACTACAGCTGCCCGTAAGTAACACTTATAGATAAGATTACAAGTGTAGAATAATTGAGGAAGTAAATTGTCCTGCCCTAAGAGCACGAATAGGTTTGAAATGTTTTAAGTTCAGCACACTGGAACGGAACAGAAAGAGAATGTAAAATTTTGACTTTGTGACGTAGTATGTTCCGCTAGTTAGGATTATGCTCAAGTATGAAAGAAGCAAATTAATTCGGTTACATATTAGCAAATTCTAAATCTATTTGTTCTTCTCCATAGCTGCGGAATAAAAAGAGTTATTTCAATTTTACGTGGAATTTAGTTTAGGAGGGCGTGATGAAATTCTATATATTCGTGCCTTTATAAATTCTTCAGGTTACACCAATATCGGATTTTTAGCATATTCAACATTCTTAACCAGTCATCCCCCAAACACAAGAATAGGTAAATTGCAACCTTTAAAGGGACAGTGAGCGTTATTCCAAGTGACCCTCAATGCACAAGTATCATTAAAAGATTTATCTGATTTAGCATGAACTAGATTTTATAATCTTTAAAATTTGGAAAACTGATCATTTTCGACTGTGACTTTCATTTCAAACGTGACCTGCGCATTTATCTAATACAGGAACACTTGTGAGGAATCTCCAAAATTAAACAATTTAAACCCTAAAGAAACGAAAATATCTTCCATAACTGATAAGATAAAGGTTTTGAGCGTACACTGCTGTGATTCAGACATTTCCAGGTACTTGCATATATGATAAGCTTCTATATGTAAATTTCGCTTGTCTGTTTGTCTGTTTGTGTGTCTGTCTGTTTGTATCCAATAAACGTCAAAACGGCTGAACCGATCGGGCCCAAATTTTTTGTGGGACATCTAGGGACCCCAGGGAAGGTTTATGAATGATTGAAATTTTAAAAATTTGTGTTTTAAAGGTTTTTAATTTTGTAAAAAAATTTAAATTTTTGAAAATGCGCGAATTTTTTTTAAAAATCCGCAAAATTTTTTTATCTTAGTTTTGAAATGTAAACAAAAAGAACATATTCACAATTTAAATAGAAGATGGGCGCGAAGCGCCTTGAATTTCTAGTGAAGCATATTTTCTCTCTTTTATGAACATTATGGTTTTAATGAATTTTTCGAATTTCAAATCTGTTATATGCTAAAGGTTTATTTAAATTACGTTATAACATGCTAAACTCTCGCATAAAAATTAAGGCTATAAATAACCAGTAAAGCAATTGTATCGATCAGCCAAAATCCGGTGCACCAAAAATTTGATTTTTAAAATTGGGAAATTTAAAAGCAATCTTTTTTTCGAAAAAACTTTTTATTATTTTGATAAATTTTCACATTTTCTGGGTAAAAGAGCTCAGTGGCAGATTTAAACCGCGGCTCAAATTCTTTAAATTCCATCTCTGGTTGGTTACTGGTCTGATTAAAGGCTCCCAGTGCCAGGGAAAATTCAAATCACAGAATAATTTGCTTAGTTGAGAAAGATTAGCATATATAATGAAAATCAGAGTTGAATTGTAAACCTGTTTATTTTACTATCTTTAAAGCACCGAATATAAACCTATATTAGGGCATGAATTCTAAATTTATTAGAACAAAATGTAAACTTGTGGCAATCTCCTATTTTATAATGTTTGTTGCAATCTCTTATTTTATAATGTATGTTGCAACCTCCTGTTTAAATACCGTTCTAAGTCACATTTTCTTATTCTAAAAGTTGAAGTTAGCAACAAAAGATTTTTTGGCCTAAACAATTTTTCAAACTAAAAAAATGTATTTTTTTCTTCATATTTCCCAACATCTTTTATTTGCCTAAAATTACCATTTTGAAGAACTTGAGCCGCGGCTTAAATTTGAAACGCGACTCAAATATTTAAGTCGGAGCTCAATTGAAACCGGTTTTGGGAGGATTTGAGACGCGGCTTAAATTCATTAAATTCGGACTCTGAATGCATACTTCCAAGTGACTCTTCAAGCAAGGATAGCAATGCCCGTTTCCCAACAGTCCTACTAAAGCTTTGTTTATTGCCGGTTTTGTATGAAAAATATATTTTCTTTATTGTCAATAGAAAGAGAGACAACTGAATTTTTGATAAAACAAAGAAAAATATTAATTTCTTATTTCAGAGCTTAAATAATTGGACGAAAAAATGCGTGAAGCGAAAAATAAAATAATAGAAGCATTTTATAATTCAAAGTTTTAAGTGAAAGAATTGTACTCATTTGCTGCATACATTCGTAATTCCATTCCTCTCTTCAAACAAACAAACATAGCATTTTTCAGAAACCTCAATTTAACAAAAATGTGTTAAAAATCTGCCTCAGGGTTATTGTGAACGAAAAACCTCTAAATCTTGACAACATCTATTGTTTTATTAGTAGTGATATTAATCTATATACAAGCTGAAGGGCTCGGCGTTGCCCGTGAAAAAAAAAATATTGAAGAAAAAAATCGATTTTTTTAGCCTTTGTCACCCATGAGGGTCCACACAAAATTTCTGCCCATTCGTTCCAGCCGTCTAGCCGCGTCCACAGAGAACATATATACGAATGTCTTGTTTTATTCTAAAGATATTTGAACAGTTCTATATAACTATTTAATT